TCCTTATTAAATCCTAATGAAGCTGGCTCAAGACTTTAATTTCCATCACTCACCTACTCCAAACAATGTCAAGCATTGTGAAGGTTGACACAGGTGGTATAATAAACCACAACTGATAGTTTTCATTTCCTTAAGCGCAAAGGCTTTATTTTCCATTATCCCCGTTTTTAACAGAAAAGAAAGAAGGTATTATATAGTGCATTTTACATGCGCAGTGTCACTGCTACCATCTGTGAATGTTAATTTTTAGTGTTTACTCTGACTCTTACTTCAGCAAATCTGTTTCTCAGCTTTCTTCTGGATTTGGGGGACTGATCCTTAGTCATCTCTAAAGAGTTTTCAGCACATTCAAAACTTACACAAAAGGAAAGATGATCAAAATCACAGAGCTATCTAAAGGTTCTACCACTCTGATAAGCCAACTTTCATTAAAAAGCATCTGTCATCAATACAATTAATTGCTTTGTTCAAACATCTGCAGGTCATATTATTTCTTAACAGGCAGCAGCAAGAAGGGAAAGTAAAACTGAGGCAGGTTATTAATCACCTACTCACTGTTTCCTGTACAACATAGAGGAAATAATCAAGCAGCATTGCAGATTATAAAGGGAGATTCCCGAAAAACAGAAAAAATACACAGCACATTTAATACATTGTAGGGGCCCATGCGATAGTCACATCTAGTCCATGGAAATTTGAGTTTATTTATAAGATTGAGTATCTGACAAGAGTCCCCACATTTAAATGAAGGTATGCCCAACCCCCAAGAGCAGCTATCCAGATTTACTAGTCTTTGTTCAGGTCCAAAAGGTGAGTAGTTTGATCCAAAGTGGATAGAATGAATGCCAATGTACTCAACTGACACAATCAGAAATGTAAATCTGGAGGGAGTTTGTCACTCATAAATTAATGCCAACCTTAAATGGAATAACTCGACTCATCAATATTGCCAGCTGTGTCCTCCCTAAGGACTTTTACTACATGTGATTTTACACATGTCAGTTCTAAATAGAGATGGGAGCACTCAGAAACATTATGTCAATTTGCTACCCTCCCTTGGGAATTTGGGGTCTATAAACCAATGAACTGGCAGGAGGAATCAAATAAGTATGATGGGGTGAGTTCTGATCTCACAAACACATATTTTTTACTTATGACAGATATAATTTTGCTCTATCATCAGTTCTCTCATGCAATGACAAATTAGACCCCTTTCCTTTAGACCACTACTCTGAAATATCAAGGGCTATGCAGCACCTATGACAATGAATATACCAATCTTTGAGTGAGACGATATTCTGCATCATCTTTGCAGATAAACAAGAGAGAGAATGCTTTCTGTACATATTCTCTAATATTACATTTAAGCCAGGGGTGCTCAACCCCCAGCCTGCAGGCCACACCTGGTCTGCAGAGCCATGCCATCTGACCCACTGAGCTCCCCATAGGTCTGAAAAATTGGCAGCGGGAGAGTGAGGGCATGTTAATTGCTGCTCTCCTGCTGGCAAATTTACAGATCTATGGAGAGCCCAGTGGGTGGGATAGCATGGCCCTGTGATCTAGATGGGGTGCATGGGGCCAAGGCAAGGTGGCATGGGGCCTGATCCAGGCATGCGTAGCGAGGGCAGTACAGGGCCTAGTTAGGCGCACAGGGAAGCACAGGGCCCAACCCTGCGAGTCGATCCTGCACGGGATCCAGTTTAGTCTGGCCCTACACCACTCATCCAGTTCACCAATTCAAAAGGTTGAGCATCACTGATTTAAGCAATCAACCAAAATACAACAAAGCTTGCTACTTACACAGAACAGGAGATTTGTGTACTCGTTAGCTCCAGTAGACAGTTCATCTTGGGAAATTCCTGTCAGAAAATTCCTGACACTGCTGGGCTCTTCCTTTA